AAGTCAGCTGAAGAATGATCGCACTCTTGTCACGAAAGTCACTACGCCCTTATTTTATTTGTTTCGTTCTTATTTATCAAGTCTATGAATCTTGATAATTCTTACTTTCTAGGTAATTCCTTGGCTTTCATTTTGTTGAACCTCACAGAACGTGCGAGACGTCTTGAAATTTAAGACAAGACTATCAATCTGCAAATTAGAAATTGTTAGCACCAACGAATACGTATCTTACGTATATTTTCATACTCAAGCTTTATCCGTATGATCATGATAGAATGGAGAAAAATTCTTTTCCCTCTCGCACAAGCGTCACGAATTTGTAGAAGGAAAGACAAAAAAAAAAAAAAAAGATATCGCTGACGAGTCAATCTGACTATCTTTGTTCGACAAGAAATAACAAATGACGCACTTACTGCGCGAGATTTCTTCCAAACGTCTTTCGGATGAGTCAAGGGAAGCGGATGGGGTTTGGCCGCGCAACAATCCGCAGGAATTACCAATTATGGTATCCAGAATTTTTATATCGGTAGGGGGGGTCGTTGCACCATGATTGCGTTTCGCAGAATCGCGATCATGTAACACCGATGTTGGGTAATCGAGCATCGATGTCGCGGGAAACTTTTATTTCCGCGGGATTCCTTGAAAACGTTGGTGCGACTGTGGAATAAGGAATTCAAGTTCTGCGAAGTTTAGGAATGTAATGCAAGAAATATAATTCGGTAATTCCGAGAAGAGAACAATTTCTTAATAATAACAGGACTTGGGGGTTCTCGTCGAAAGACGAAAATGAATAATTTAAGAGCTAATCCAAGATAATGTATACGTGCAAATTCCCAAATTATCAAATGAACGAATTAACAGGCTTTCATCGCGTTTAATTAAAAATCTTCGTTGGCGTATGGTCAACCGCTGTGTTCCACCTGGACGTGTCACGATTACAGCTATGCAAAGCAAAATAAATGGCGGATTTATCGATGAACTGCCGCCACCGAAGCGCAATTTAATTGCGTTTTATCGCGAGGGCAGACGCCGCGTTAGCGTTAAAACTTCTCGAGTGAGTGAGCGCGCGATACAAGGTCGCGACTGAATTAATTAGTTTCGACGGCAAGGGTTAATTATAAAAGCTATCGACTGTTCGAGAGATCCATCGTCGTCATCCAACATGGAGGAAACGTGGCAAGAGAAAAGAAACCAGCCGGCCCCTCTTATCCCACCTACCAACGAGGCCCCCCCCCCCCCCGCGATAAAAATCCAAGAACGCGTTGCGTTCGTAGAAATCAGCTCAGCTTATAAATACCATCGGCGAAGACCGATCGAACCTTAGTACACTGAGACACGTTGACCCCGTCTTGTGCTCTCGAAACTCTTTGCAAACGACACTCTCGTGTGTCTCATTCTCTCGCGATCTCTCGTTCGGACAAAGATGGGTACGTTCGAAAGTACAGCGTACTAACGAATGAAATAAATAAATGAAGAAGAAAAGAGTACCATTTCGTTCGAATGATTTCAGTTTTGTAAAGTTAAAAGAAGATGCTCCGATATGATGATCATTGTCGATCGTTTCAAATAATCAAGTCGAATATCTCTGGTTCATGCTACGAGTAGTAACAATTGTTAGATTGCTAAATGTCTAAATGTTCTTTTGTTTTTTTTTTTTTTTCGAATATTCAATTCGTTTCTTGTGAAAGTATATCGGTACGAGAACGATCGTTTTGAATCGTCGCGTGAATTTTACAGAAGACGAGAGCAACAAAAGCAGACGATCTTCCGCGTCTGAGAAAGCCAAGGAGATGGAGGCGATAAATGGGCTAGTTTCCGGCAAGAACGTGCTCATCACTGGCGGCGCTGCCGGTCTGGGGAACGCGTTTATGAACCACTTTCTGAAACACGGCGCGAACGTAAGTTCTTTCCTAAAAAATTTAAATTCAAAAAAAAAAAAAAAAAAAAACCAAGGAAGTATCTTTACAAGTATGTTACCGTTTAAATTAAATCGTTTGCCAGAGAATAACCATATTGGATATCGACCAAGAGACGGGAAAGCGAGTAGAATTGAGCGTAGAGAAATCCTACGGGATGAAGAAGGTTCACTTCATTCACGTCGATGTCTCCAACTACGAACTTATGGCTGGTGAGCATCGAATAGAGTGTAGATAAGAGTATAGATGTGTAGAGCAGGCTAACAACAATAAGTAGATAACACGTCGATAAGTTTTTCAAAGTTTGTAAAATGTAACTGATAACGAGATGGAGACTAAGCCTTGAGCTAGAAAGAACATAAATATTATGATTTTAGAAATCATCGATCAGTCGTAAAATTCATGATATTAATGAGTTTTCTATTGTAGCGGCTTTCGAGGAGGCAACGAATTTAATGAACGATATTGATATTATTGTTAATAACGCTGGCACCTTGGACGAACGACGATGGGAAAGAGAAATAGCAGTGAACATTGTAAGTAACGAACGGATCGGTTTATTTCTCACTTGTGTTTGCTTTAATGAAAAATTATTATACTTTTGTAATTCAGGGAGGGATGATGTGTACCGCGTTACTGGCTATCAAATATTTGAGCAGAGACCAACTTGGACACGGAGGAACTTTAGTGAATATCAGTCAACACATAGACATTAGAAGCACGGCTCAACTTCCGATTTACACGGCCACCAAACACGCTGTTATTGGCCTTTCACAATCCTTAGCAGTAAGATATTTATTATTCTAAGTTACATTATTTATTTGCGCGAACTAATTGTGATGTACATTTTGCTCGATTTGGAAAATTTACTTACATTAAAATATTACTAACATTATATCGAGGGAACAGTCGTACCCTTTTCGTTGTATAATCGAAGCGATATAGAACTTTCCAAAAAAAAAAAAAAAAAAAAAATACTATCTTCTTTATAGCTGAGAAATAATATCTTCCGACTGATTAAAATTACCACGACATCGAGTATCGTTTTCTCTCCTTCAGAAATTATAACCAGTTTACATCATTAAGTGCTAAAACATGATTTAAACGTAAATTTACTTCAGGACTCTTACCAATACGAGAAGACTGGTATTCGTGTGATAACTCTGTGTCCTGGCCTGACAGAAACTGCCCTCACAGTGAACAGCCCAAACAGATTACTCTCCCGAGTTATGAAGGCGGATTTCGTAAAAAACCTCGAACAACTGTCGATACAAACGTGAGTTTCTCGCTTTCGTGAAAAATTTCAATAAAAAAAAATTCAGGAAATTAATTTCCATCGCTAAAAAAAGTCTCTTTTTCTTCACAGTCCGTACGTGGTGGCTCAGGGTCTAATGTCGATACTGAGAGTCGCAGAATCCGGCACCATATGGGTGATCGAGAACGGTCGGACCCCGTACGAAGTTTATGTGCCAAATCCACGTAGCTTGCGGCGTACTTACAAAAACAATTTCACGCTAGTCGAGACCAAGGTAACTACAAGAGGTCGCCCAATTAGAGAAGTCTGTGACAATACACGAACAGGTCTGATGAGTTGTGCTTGACGATGCGATGGCGGAACATGATCTTCCGCGTTCTTCAAGAAACTCTAAAGATTGGCATCGCTACAGTGTTCAGTCGTTTTGCTCGAAAGAATCCCTTCGCAGCCACTACACGTGGGAGAAGAATTCGTCGAAGGTCGGCGAAAGCGATCGGATCGAGTCGTTTTTCGATCACTTGAAATGCTGTTGGGGAAAAAGGTTTCAAGCTGCACGGTGCTTGATATTTGTTAGTTTCATTAGATACAATATTAAGTATTTATACAGATAATGCACGCGTATATACACGATGTTTTGTACATAAAATCAACCGTGACCGCGATTTAAGAATTCTTTCAAATAATTGCAATTGTTGGCAAGAATGATATGGATTTATTATACGACCAAGTCTCTTTTTTATTTCTTAAATCTTTGTTCAGTAATGTCAATTTACAAGTGCTTTCTTATTTTATCATTTTTTTCTCTTTTTTTATTTTTTCTTTTTTTTTATTTTTTTTTTTTTGACAAGCAAGTCGATATGAAAAAACGCAATGATAATTGACAAATATTCCATGAATAAGTCTCCACGAAGTAATTAGTGGGCTTAAAGAGTACAACAAACATTATTTTATTACTTCAGTATTATTCAGCATTGGGACTCACATCATATCCGCTGTACAAAACAAAAATTCATCATCAGAAAATCGCATATACCGTGCATTTCTTTACACGCGCAATGCATAAAACTTAAAAGTTATATTTCTTTTTTCCCCCATATATTCCTTCCTATTTTACTTATCTTTATTCATATATGCTTTATAATTTTTTTTTTTCTTTTTTTTTGTAGTTTTACTTTACTTTGCAACTTTACTGATAGCTTATGGAGATTTTCGATTTATATGTAACTAAATCTCATGTTATGTATGTATATATTTGTATACGCTTGGGACTCCACACGAGCCATAAGAAAATAACAATCGCAAATAATACACTTATTCTGCCTTTGTTTTTTTCTTTCTGCGTCTTATCATTTTAAGGACATTACCATGCTTTTAGAGTCTTACTCTCGCAATGCTACTCGCTATCAGCGCAACAGCGTTCTCGTACATCAAACGATTTCTTCGAAATTCGAAGCTATTAAACGCAGTCCAACTACAAGAAGGCATTCGCACTCCCATTTTTTCTTTCTCTCACTAGCATACCACGTTCAATATTTCAAAAACTATTAGTCAATACAATCGATGTACGATTCGGCCTCGCGTGCGCACGCGT